TTTTCAATGCCCTGGCTGAGGGAAGGAGGTTCTCACCCAATATTTGACGGTACATGGCCCCGTCCATCGTCCCTTTGATGCGGTGAAGTTGTCCTGTCCCCTTAGCAGAAAAACACCCTCAAAGCATAATGTTTCCACCTCCATGTTTGACGGTGGGGATGGTGTTCTTGGGGTCATAGGCAGCATTCCTCCTCCTTCAAACACGGCGAGTTGAGTTGATGCCAAAGAGCTCGATTTTGGTCTCATCTGACCACAACACTTTCACCCAGTTCTCCTCTGAATCATTCAGATGTTCATTGGCAAACTTCAGATGGCCCTGTACAGTGGGGAGAACAAGTATTTGATACACTGCTGATTTTGCAGGTTTTCCTACTTACAAAGCATGTAGAGGTCTGTAATTTTTATCATAGGTACACTTCAACTGTGAGAGACGGAATCTAAAACAAAAATCCAGAAAATCACATTGTATGATTTTTAAGTAATTCATTTGCATTTTATTGCATGACATAAGTATTTGATACATCAGAAAAGCAGAACTTATTATTTGGTACAGAAACCTTTGTTTGCAATTACAGAGATCATACGTTTCCTGTAGGTCTTGACCACGTTTGCACACACTGCAGTAGGGATTTTGGCCCACTCCTCTCCAGATCCTTCAGGTTTCGGGGCTGTCGCTGGGCAATACGGACTTTAAGCTCCCTCCAAAGATTTTCTATTGGGTTCAGGTCTGGAGACTGGCTAGGCCACTCCAGGACCTTGAGATGCTTCTTACGGAGCCACTCCTTAGTTGCCCTGGCTGTGTGTTTCGGGTCGTTGTCATGCTGGAAGACCCAGCCACGACCCATCTTCAATGCTCTCACTGAGGGAAGGAGGTTGTTGGCCAAGATCTTGCGATACATGGCCCCATCCATCCTCCCCTCAATACGGTGCAGTCGTCCTGTCCCCTTTGCAGAAAAGCATCCCCAAAGAATGATGTTTCCACCTCCGAGCTTCACGGTTGGGATGGTGTTCTTGGGGTTGTACTCATCCTTCTTCTTCCTCCAAACACGGCGAGTGGAGTTTAGACCAAAAAGCTATATTTTTGTCTCATCAGACCACATGACCTTCTCCCATTCCTCCTCTGGATCATCCAGATGGTCATTGGCAAACTTCAGACGAGCCTGGACATGCGCTGGCTTGAGCAGTGGGACCTTGCGTGCGCTGCAGGATTTTAATCCATGACGGCGTAGTGTGTTACTAATGGTTTTCTTTGAGACTGTGGTCCCAGCTCTCTTCAGGTCATTGACCAGGTCCTGCCGTGTAGTTCTGGGCTGATCCCTCACCTTCCTCATGATCATTGATGCCCCACGAGGTGAGATCTTGCATGGAGCCCCAGACCAAGGGTGATTGACCGTCATCTTGAACTTCTTCCATTTTCTAATAATTGCGCCAACAGTTGTTGCCTTCTCACCAAGCTGCTTGCCTATTATCCTGTAGCCCATCCCAGCCTTGTGCAGGTCTACAATTGTATCCCTGATGTCCTTACACAGCTCTCTGGTCTTGGCCATTGTGGAGAGGTTGGAGTCTGTTTGATTGAGTGTGTGGACAGGTGTCTTTTTATACAGGTAACGAGTTCAAACAGGTGCCGTTAATACAGGTAATGAGTGGACAACAGGAGGGCTTCTTAAAGGAAAACTAACAGGTCTGTGAGAGCCGGAATTCTTACTGGTTGGTAGGTGATCAAATACTTATGTCATGCAATAAAATGTAAATTAATTACTTAAAAATCATACAATGTGATTTTCTGGATTTTTGTTTTAGATTCCGTCTCTCACAGTTGAAGTGTACCTATGATAAAAATTACAGACCTCTATATGCTTTGTAAGTAGGAAAACCTGCAAAATTGGCAGTGTATCAAATACTTGTTCTCCCCACTGTATATGTATGTATATGTATGTATGTATGTATATATATATGATTTGTGTGTGTGTGTGTGTGTGTGTGTGTGTGTGTATATACAGTTGAAGTCAGAAGTTTACATACACTTAGGTTGGAGTCATTAAAACTTGTTTTTCAACCACTCCACAAATTTCTTGTTAACAAACTATAGTTTTGGCAAGTCGGTTAAGACATCTACTTTGTGCATGACACAAGTAATTTTTCCAACAATTGTTTACAGACAGATTATTTAACTTATAATTCACTGTATCACAATTTCAGTGGGTCAGATGTTTACATACACAAAGTTGACTGTGCCTTTAAACAGCTTGGGAAATTCCAGAAAATGATGTCATGGCTTTAGGAGCTTCTGATAGGCTAATTGACATGATTTGAGTCAATTGGAGGTGTACCTGTGGATGTATTTCAAGGCCTACCTTCAAACTCAGTTCCTCTTTGCTTGACTTCATGGGAAAATCAAAATAAATCTGCCAAGATCCACAGTAAAACAAGTCCTATATCGACATAACCTGAAAGGCCGCTCAGCAAGGAAGAAGCCACTGCTCCAAAACCGCCATAAAAAAAGCCAGACTACAATTTGCAACTGCACATGGGGACAAAGATCTTACTTTTTGGAGAAATGTCCTCTGGTCTGATGAAACAAAAATAGAACTGTTTTGCCATAATGACCATTGTTATGTTTGGAGCAAAAAGGGGGTTGCTTGCAAGCCGAAGAACACCATCCCAACCGTGAAGCACGGGAGTGGCAGCATCATGCTGTGGGGGTGTTTTGCTGCAGGAGGGACTGTTGCACTTCACAAAATAGATGGCATCATGAGGAAGGAAAATTATGTGGATATATTGAAGTAACATCTCAAGACATCAGTCAGGAAGTTAAAGCTTGGTCGCAAATGGGTCTTCCAAATGGACAAAGACCCCAAGCATACTTCCAAAGTGGTGGCAAAATGGCTTAAGGACAACAAAGTCAAGGTATTGGAGTGGCCATCACAAAGCCCTGACCTCAATCCTATAGAAAATGTGTGGGCAGAACTGAAAAAGCGTGTGCGAGCAAGGAGGCCTACAAACCTGACTCAGTTACACCATCTCTGTCAGGAGGAACGGGCCAAAATTCACCCAACTTATTGTGGGAAGCTTGTGGAAGGCTACCTGAAACGTTTGACCCTAGTTAAACAATTTAAAGGCAACGCTACCAAATACTAATTGAGTGTATGTAAACTTCTGACCCACTGGGAATGTGATAAAAGAAATAAAAGCTTAAATAAATCATTCTCTTTACTATTATTCTGATATTTCACATTCTTAAAATAAAGTGGTGAGCCTAACTGACCTAAAACAGGGAATTTTTACTAGGATTAAATGTCAGGAATTGTGAAAAACTGAGTTTAAATGTATTTGGCTAAGGTGTATGTAAAATTCAGACTTCAACTGTATATATGTGTGTGTGTGTGTGTGTGTATATATATGTTTTGCCCCACCAAGATTTACATGCTAAAATCGCCACTGGTGTTGTGTAACAAAATTGCAAATTCTTTTAGTGGCCTTTAATTGTCCCCAGCACAAGGTGCACCTGTGTAATGATCATACTGTTTAATAAGCTTCTTGATATGCCACACCTGTCAGGTGGATGGATTATTTTGGAAAATGAGAAATGCTCACTAACAGGGATGTTAACATTTGTGCACAAAATATGAGAGAAATAAGCTTTTTATGAGTATGGAACATTTCTGGGATATTTTATTTCAGCTCATGAAACATGTGACCAACACTTTACATGTTGCATTTATATTTGAGTTCAGTGTAGCTAGCTGTGAAGGGCTCATCAGGACTACTGACTGAACTGAACTGACTGACCTGAATCCGTTAGCAAAGAAGTAACCTAAGATAGACCAGACCCTTGCCTTTTGGCTGATCCATTCGTTTTTCAGGATGGGTGAAAAAAGCGTTGGGTATAGTGGAATCGGTGAGGGTAACCAGAAGTGGTCTAGTGATAATTGTTTGTGTTTCTGTTGGTCAGAGGGAGAAGGTGCTCAGAGTTAAACAAATGGGGGAAAGAATTGTGAATTGTTTCGCTCTCAAGAAAAGGGCGCCATTGAAAGGAATGATTACTGGGGTAGCAGTAAATGTAAATGTTGACCAACTGAAGGGGAAGATTCCCGGAATTCTTTAAGGAATACCTGGGATAGTATAAAAGTAATCCTTCTATCAATCCCCCCCCCCCCCACACACACACAAAAAATGTAAAATAAAATAATAATAATAATAATAATAATAAATAAATAAATAAAATAAAACACATTAAAATATATATATATATAAAACAAATGAAATTTAAAAAAAAAATTAAACATTTGAAAGAAATAAAAAATAATAATAACATTTGAAATAAAAAAAAATGTGTAAAGTCAAATCAAATCAAATCAAATTGTATTGGTCACATGCGCCGAATACAACAGGTGCAGACATTACAGTGAAATGCTTACTTACAGCCCTTAACCAACAGTGCATTTATTTTAAACAAAAAAAGTAAAAATAAAACAACAACAAAAAAAAGTGTTGAGGAAAAAAAGAGCAGAAGTAAAATAAAGTGACAGTAAGGAGGCTACAGGGGGGTACCGTTGCAGAGTCAATGTGCGGGGGCACCGGCTAGTTGAGGTAGTTGAGGTAATATGTACATGTGGGTAGAGTTAAAGTGACTATGCATAAATACTGGTTGTCCCACTGGCTATCATAAGGTGAATGCACAAATTTATAAGTCGCTCTGGATAAGAGCGTCTGCTAAATGACGTAAATGTAATGTAAATGTAATGTCCCGTCATTTCAGGTTGAGGGCATGTGGTAGGAATGAATATATTTAAATAGTTGAGTAGGGTGGTGTTAATTATTAATAATATTTGTGAGTGTAGTGTTAGATGGTAGGGTATTTCTTTATTTTATTTTTCAAGCAAAATATAAGGGAGTTGTACTCCAGTCTAGTAGGTGGCGGTAATGCAACAAATTGGATCCCAGTAGTTTTGAAGCGCGGATGTCGGAGATTTCTAAGTTCCCAGTTGTTTTGAACGCGGTAGTAGTCTCGACTCTCGCTGTGCGACCAACGTAATCAATTTGGGCACCAGGCGTGTACGTATAGCTTCTACCTTATTGTTTACAATTAGTCTAGTTAACTACTCCACGACATGCCTTGTTGGATTAATTGTAGTAAAACTAGATGGTGTAGCTCATTTTAAAGGATGATACATTTATTCAGGTATGTCCACTAAATATTGGTTATTGAAATTTGTAGCTTACTAGCTTTGCGGTAGCTAGCTAGCTAATCGTTTCTGCTGTTGGTTCTACAAAAGGTTTCTATCTAACCCTGCAATGATTGGCATTGCTTTTGGCTAGCTAAATAAACAATATTACTTTCATTATAAAACATTTTTTTTTACATTTACAGATTTCTGGAAGATAGGAAACGTCCAGTGTTTGTGTAGACAAGGTGAAGATTGAGGACGAGATGGAAGATGGTACACCTGTAGGACTATCTGTGGGAATTGCAGACGCTGACAATGCTCCCTCAAGCTCATCAGGAGCATCAACAAGAAAGAGGAAGTCTGATGTGCTCAGAAATGCTAAGCCCAAGAAGAAAACGAAGCCCAAAGTCAGCCGCCCCCCAAGGCTTGGCTACACTGTTGAACAGGGAGAGGATATGCTTCTGATCATATCGAATACAAATCAGTATGATAACATATGGCGGCCGAACGCGAAAAGAAGAAAGAAAAAGAAAATCCTTAAAGGAAAAGCCAAAGTCACTCAGGCAAAGAAGAAGAATACAGTTTTTCCAAAGGGTAAAGCCACAAAGAAGCCACTGATCAAGAGAGGTGAACTGGAGCGCACACTGCAACACCACCAAGAGGAGGGCTTTGACAGCTGGGGTCAGAGTTTACCAGTGGAAGTGTTAGTTAATATTTTCAAGATGGTAGTTCACCAAGATGGTGCAGTACCATTCCTGTGCAGGTAATGCAATGTTTAATGTAGCCTGCCCTTCTCATGTTTCATTTAATCGGTGCCTCTGTCTCATTTCTCATAAATTGGAGATTCTAGACATAAAACTTAGATTAAATAAACAATCCTGCTCAATACAAGCTGCAATCAACATAGAAACTATCTGACCTATCTGAGCTAACTGATATTTAAACATGTTATTTTATTTTCTGTTCACTGTTTTAGGGTGGCTAGGGTGTGCCACCTATGGAATGTTGCTGCAGCCAGTCCTGCTCTGTGGCGCAGTGTGTCCGTGGGTTACTGCTGGTTGGAACCTGGTAAAACCCACTTACCTAAAACAGAACTGAAGATCAGGAACACTGTAAGCTGGCTTGCACAGAACAGGTCAGTACTATTTGGGAAAATTGCAAACAGAATAACATAGTTTCAGACACTGTGGGGAACTCTGTATGTAGGCCTACTAAGTAAAATGTGGATCGTTTAGGCTAGTTCTGGGGTTTCATGGACACTGATTAAGCCTAGTCATGGAACTAAAAAGCACTTTCAGTCCAGAGCATAATTTGTGTCCATGAAACAGACTGACCCATAGAGTAAATATATTCTAAGCCCTAACAACAATTTAGTAATGTGAAAAAGGAACATTAACTGACTTAACTATGCCTGTATAAATAAGTAATAATGGTACATTTCTCTTATTTTGTTTTGAAGATTCTCCCAACTAAGAGACTTTTCTCTTAATCACTGGAAAAATAATGTTGACCATGTTGTGGAGGTAAATTCTAATATACATAATACAAATGTAATGTTAGTGTTTGTTTTGCCCTTTAATGCCACAATGAGGCTAATGTTTGTGTTCCCTCATACCTGTTCAAAAAACATGTATTGGATCCATGCACCTTACTAATGTAGACTAAGTGTAAGGAATAGTTTGACATAGAAAGGAAAGCTATCACTGTTAATTTTTTGATAAACTTCATACCATGAAAGTCAGTATGACATTAGCAGAAGTTATTATTTCCTGTTGAAGTCTGATTGTGTTTCAGGTTTTCTTTATTGATTAACATCCCACTGTTTACCTAACAGGTTGTGTCCCAGTCCTGCCCCCAACTCCGATCACTCAAGCTGTCATACTGTACAGGCGTGACTGAGAAGGCCTTTCAGAGCCTCAGTGGCAGCTGTCGGTCACTGGATAGCATTAATGTCCAGTACTCTGAGGTAGGCCAAAGAGCATGTCAATGGACATAATGATGGTTCACTCACACTATAGCACACAAAGGTCAAAATACTGCACCATAGTAGGCCAGAGACGGTGCCTTCCGAAAGTATTCACGCCCCTTGACTTTTTCCACATTTTGTTGTTTTACAGCAGGGGTTCCCAAACGTTTTTGGCCCGCGACCCCATTTTGATATAAAATAAATGGGAACCCCACCATGTAAAATATATACAAGTGATGTAATACCTTTCTGATTTCAGTCACTTCAAACCTAACTTCCTTCAGATAGTTTTTTTTTTTCTCAATTGGGGCTATGACTGTATTACAAATCAGTCTAACGGTACTTTTGAAAGTATTTACATCTGAAGGTAGTGTAGTTTGAAGTGACTTGAATCAGAATCGGAAAGGTATTGGGAAGTTCAGAAAATTATCAGGAAATGTTGTATGATCTTCTGTGTAGAAAAGAACAGATGTTCTTTCCCCCCCCAGTCTGATTTAGTGACTGGTCTTGTCCACTCTGTTCTAATGAGTCCTGCGCGGCTTGTGGGTATTGTAGAGGGAACATCACACATGCATTTTCCTGAGAGTCCTATCTTTCAGTGATATGGTCATAATATTTTTTTAGCTTAAAACCGTTCAAAGGATAGAGCCGCATTTGTAGGAAGAAAACAGAAACCACTCTGTTTATTACAACCACGTCTAGCGGCTACTTGAGGTTACTAACGTAACCCCGGTTCTATGAACCAAGCATGTTTGTTTGGGGGGCGAGTTTCTCTCGCGACCCCTAGTTTGGGAAACGCTGTGTTACAGCCTGAATTTAAAATAGATTACGTTTAGATATTGTGTCATTGGCCTACACACAATACTGGGTGAGAGAAAAAAATCAATTTAATTCCATTTTGAATTCAGGCTGTAACACAACAAAAGGTGGAATAAGTCAAGGGGTATGAATACTTTCAGAAGGTACTGTACATGACAGTGGAGTGAGCTTATTATATACACTGCTGCCTATTGATTGTATCACTTTTCATTAGACATACCATCTTCAAAGTAGATATAACTTCTTTGTGCAATATTAAATGCCTAAAATTCTATACTTCCTCTTGTTGCTGTAGTTTCAGGTTGAAGGGCTTGTCACCTTCTTGGAATCCTATGGCATTCAAATTAGACAGATTTTGTTCACCCATGGGCCCAGGAATGACCGGCTTCTCACTGCTATCTCTGTAAGTGCTATTTTAATTCTTACAGTATTTCAGATTACTTCCGTATAATTGAGACTTCAGAAAGTGTTTGTACCCCTTAGCTTTTTCCACATTTTGTGTTAAAGCCTGAATTTAAAATGGATTAAATTGAGATGTTGTGTCTCTGGCCTACACACTATACTCCATAATGTCAAAGTGGAATTATGTTTTTAGAAATTGACAAATTAATAGAAAATGAAAAGCTGAAATGTCTTCAGTCATTAAGTATTCAACCACTTTGTTATGGCATGCCTAAATAAGTTCAGGAGTAAAAATGTGCTTAATAAGTTGCATGGACTCACTTTGTGTGCACTAATAGTGTTTAACATAAAAGAAATTTTAAGGACTACGTCATCTCTGTACCCCACACAGACAATTATCTGTAAGGTCCCTCAGTCGAGCAGTTAATTTCAAACAGAGATTCAACCACAAAGACCAGGGAAGTTTTCCAATGCCTGGCAAATAAGGGCACCTATTGGTAGATGGGTAAAAAAATTAAAAATAATGCTGCCAAGGCAGCAGCTACTCTTCCTGGAGTCCAGCAAAATTAAGGCAGTTATACATTAAAAAAAACGAACTAAAAAAAACATTACAATACATTCACAACAGATTTCACAACATATTATGTGTGTGCCCTCAGGCCCCTACTCTACTACCACATATCTACAACACAAAATCCATGTGTACGTGTGTATATAGTCTGTATGTTATCGTGTGTTTGTATGCATGTGTCTGTGCCTATGTTTGTGTTGCTTCACAGTCCCCGCTGTTCCATAAGGTGTATTTTTATGTTTTTTTAAACCACATTTTACTGCTTGCATGAGTTACTTGATGTGGAATAGAGTTCCATGTAGTCATGGCTCTATGTAGTACTCTGCGCCTCCCATAGTCTGTGCTGGACTTGGGGACTGTGAAGAGACCTCTGGTGGCATGTCTTGTGGGGTATGCATGGGTGTCCAAGCTGTGTGCCAGTAGTTCAAACAGACAGCTCGGTGCATTCAACATGTCAATACCTCTCACCGTCAGGGATGCAAACTAGTCACCTTTCGGCGAAATTTGCCGTTTTGAATCCAAAATAGGTAACCTAGGTGATTTGTGTAGATCCGATGATACATTTTTTTTGATGGGGTGGGGGCAGGTCACTACTGGCTGTAAGCGATCGAGTGATGCACGTTTGGGGCAATATTGGCTGTATCCAAGGCTCAGCCAATCGTTCACATAACTGCAGAATGCAGCACACGACTGAAGAGAGACAACCAACATGCTAGTTACAGCATCAGCACGCTCTCTAGAAAGACAGCGGATAGTGGAAAGGCAGTTTGCCAGTTACAGCAGCAGCGCGGCCCCTGAACAACAACGAAGAGGTACAGTTGAAGTCGGAAGTTTACATACACCTTAGCCAAATACATTTAAACTCAGTTTTTCACAATTCCTGACATTTAATCCTAGTAACAATTTCCTGTTTTAGGTCAGTTAGGCTCAACACTTTATTTTAAGAATGTGAAATGTCAAAATAATAGTAGAGAGAATGATTTATTTCAGTTTTTATTTCTTTCATCACATTCCCAGTGGGTCAGAAGTTTACATACACTCAATTAGTATTTGGTAGCATTGCCTTTAAATTGTTTAACTTGGGTCAAAGGTTTCGGGTAGCCTTCCACAAGCTTCCCACAATAAGTTGGGTGAATTTTGGCCCATCCCCCCTGACAGAGCTGGTGTAACTGAGTCAGGTTTGTAGGCCTCCTTGCTCGCACACACTTTTTCAGTTCTTCCCACACATTTTCTATAGGATTGAGGTCAGGTCTTTGTGATGGCCACTCCAATACCTTGACTTTGTTGTCCTTAAGCCATTTTGCCACAACTTTGGAAGTATGCTTGGGGTCATTGTACATTTGGAAGACCCATTTGTGACCAAGCTTTAACTTCCTGACTGATGTCTTGAGATGTTGCTTCAATATATCCACAAAATTTGGATGGTGTTCTTCGGCTTGCAAGCATACCCCTTTTTCCTCCAAACATAACGATGGTCATTATGGCCAAACAGTTCTATTTCTGTTTCATCAGACCAGAGGACATTTCTCCAAAAAGTACAATCTTTGTCCCCATGTGCAGTTGCAAACCGTAGTCTGGCTTTTTTATGGCGGTTTTGGAGCAGTGGCTTCTTCCTTGCTGAGCGTCCTTTCAGGTTATGTCGATATAGGACTCGTTTTACTGTGGATATAGATACTTTTGTACCTGTTTCCTCCAGCATCTTCACAAGGTATTTTGCTGTTCTGTGATTGATTTGCACTTTTCGCACCAAAGTACGTTCATCTCTAGGAGACAGAATTCGTCTCCTTCCTGAGCGGTATGACGGCTGCGTGGTCCCATGGTGTTTATACTTGCATACTATTGTTTGTACAGATGAACGTGGTACCGTCAGGTGTTTGGAAATTGCTCCCAAGGATGAACCAGACTTGTGGAGGTCTGCAATGTTTTTTCTGATGTCTTGGTTGATTTATTTTGATTTTCCCATGATGTCAAGCAAAGAGGCACTGAGTTTGAAGGTAGGCCTTGAAATACATCCACAGGTACACCTCCAATTGACTCAAACAATGTCAATTAGCCTATCAGAAGCTTCTAAAGCCATGACATCATTTCCTGGAATTTTCCAAGCTGTTTAAAGGCACAGTCAACTTAGTGCATGTAAACTTCTGACCCACCGGAATTGTGATACAGTGAATTATAAGTTAAATAATCTGTCTGTAAACAATTGTTGGAAAAATTACTTGTCATGCACAAAGTAGATGTCCTAACCGTCTTGCCCAAACTATGGTTTGTTAACAAGGAATTTGTGGAGTGGTTGAAAAACAAGGTTTAATGACTCCAACCTAAGTGTATGTAAACTTCCGACTTCAACTGTAGGTGAGAAGCCTGGGGACGGAGGTGAGAAGTTGATGAAGCGTACTACATGAGCTGTAACCGAAAAACAACTGGCATTTGGAAAGTTTGAGGTGAGGGAGCAAGTGTGGTGGAACAAGAATTGTTAGCATTGTTAAGTATCCTGCTAGTTGGATTGAATTATCCATTAGCTAGGTACCTAGCTAACGAACTAACTACTATCTATGAACTAATGTTTTCCCTCTACAGTACGTGGTTCATTTTCAGAATGAGAGAATTAGGCGAAAATGAGGCGTTGCTTGTTAAACAAGTGGATTCAGGGATGAAGTGTAGCTGGAGCTAGGCCTGGTTTAAGCTGGATGCCACTTTAGAGGTGAAAGGAACACCACACACTTTACCTCTTTCTCACTTTTTGAATACAGTGGATAAAAAGGGGTATGCCAGGTGTACTCTCTGCCTGAAAGAGATAAATTATGCCAACAAAGGGTCTCATGTAGAACAGATGTCCACAGGCAGAAAGTGTACAATGTAATAACGTGCAGTGTAGCCCAAAGCTATTGCTTTTGTTGTGTTGAACTTTACATACAGTTGTGTGTGAGTGAGGGGGGATTCTTTTAGTTTTTACTGAGTGAACGTTATTTTTGCACACATATAGCCTTGTGCACTTGATCCATGTCTTCTATAGTGGCCACTATAATCATAGCCACTATAATAGAGAAAAAATAGAAGGCCAGTTTGTTTAATTGTATTTCTATTTTAAGATGTTTTTTTCCCAAGTGCAATATTTAGATGTGTGTGGTCACAAGCGTTATATTATAAAGCCTGTCATGGCTAACTGCAATATTAATGTATTGTTTTTTCTCTGGACTTGAGTGTTGTTTGCAGTAAAGTCTAGGCAACAAATTGGATTACTTTCCTTACATTTATTAGCTGTGTGTTAGGTTCACATTAACCACTTTTTATTTTACACACCGACTGATCATGTAGATCATATTCTTTGTTGTTTAATTAGTTAAAACCTGCATTTCAAGAAGGGATCCAGCCTAAGTAACTATAAATTAGCATTTTAAAGCTGATATTTATTTAAATACATTTTTTATCCCCCCTAGCAAGGATTTTTTTTGCGTGTTTCAGTGCAAAAGAAAGTGTCACCTTTTCACAATGAGGCCAATGGTGACTTTAAAACAGTTAGTGTTTAATGGCTGTGATAGGAGAAAACGGAGGATGGATCAACAACGTTTTAGTTACTCCACAATGCTAACCTAAATGACAGAGTGAAAAGAAGGAAGCCTGAATAAAAAAACATTCCAAAACGTGTCCTGTTTGCAATAAGGCACTAAAGTAAAACTGCAAAAAGTGGCAAATAAATTAACTTTATGTACTGAATCCAACACAACACATCACGGAGTACCACTCTTTATATTTTCAAGCAAGTTGGGGGCTGCATCATGTTATGGGTATGCTTGTCCATTGGCAAGGACTAGGGAGTTTTTTTTAGGATAAAAGTAAACGGAATAGAGCTAAGCACAGGCAAAATCCTAAAACACGAGGCCAAATATACACTGAGTGTACAAAACATTATGAACACCTGCTCTTTAAATGACATTCACAGACCAGGTGAAAGCTATGGTCCCTTATTGATGTCCCTTGTTACAGTGCATTCGGAAAGTATTCAGACCCCTTCACTTTTTCAACATTTTGTTATGTTACAGCCTTATTCTAAAATGGATTAAATAAATAAAAATCTTCCATCTACACACAATACCCCATAATGACGAAGCAAAAACAGGTTTGTAGAAATGATAGCCAAAAAAAAGACAAATGAAATACCTTATTTATAGAAGTATTCAGACCCTTTGCTATGAGACTCGAAATAGAGCTCAGGTGCATCCTGTTTCAATTGATCATCCATGATGTTTCTACAACTTGATTGGAGTCCACTTGTGGTAAATTCAATTGATTGGACATGATTTGGAAAGGCACACACCTGTCTATATAAGGTCCCACAGTTGACAGTGCATGTCAGAGCAAAAACCAAGCCATGAGGTCGAAGGAATTGTCCGTACAGCTCCGAGACAGGATTGTGTCGAGGCACAGATCTGGGGAAGGGTACCAAAAAGCAGCATTGAATGTCCCCAAGAACACAGTGGCCTCCATCTTTCTTAAATGGAAGAAGTTTGGAACCACCAAGACTCTTCCTAGAGCTGATCGCCCGGCCAAACTGAGCAATCGGGGGAGAAGGGCCTTGGTCAGGAAGGTGACCAAGAACCCGATGGTCACTCTGACAGAGCTCCAGAGTTCCTCTGTGGAGATGGGAGAACCTTCCAGAAGGACAACCATCTCTGCAGCACTCCACCAATCAGGCCTTTATGGTAGAGTGGCCAGACGGAAGCCACTCCTCAGTAAAAGGCACATGACAGCCTGCTTGTAGTGCAATCTTTCAAATCCACACACCGCCATCTCACGACTGAAATATTTAGCCTGAATGCCAAGCGTCACGTCTGGAGGAAACCAGGCACCGCTCATCACCGGGCCAAACCATCCCTATGGTGAAACATGGTTGTGGCAGCATAATTCTGTGGGGATGTTTTTCAGTGGCAGGGACTGGGAGACTAGACAGGATTGAGGGAAAGATGAACAGAGCAAAGTACCGAGAGATCCTTGATTAAAACCTGCTCCAGAACAATTTCATGCATTTTAGATTAAGGCTGTAATGTAACAAAATGTGGAAAAAGTGAAGGGGTCTGAATACTTTCCGAATGTACTGTAAATCGCCTTCTTGAGGCACAGATTGCAACTGGTGGAATCATCGATCCAGTGTACAGTCATAGAGTGCCTTTAGAGGTGGCATACCATAGAGGATACTTTTAGGAAATTGACTCAATATTAGGAAAGTGTTCTTCATATTCTGTACACTCAGTGTACACTGGAGTTGCTTACCAAGACGATATTTAATTTTCCTGAGTGGCCTAGTTACAGTTTTGACTTAAATCGGCTTGAAAATCTATGGCAAGACTGAAATGGCTTTCTAGCAATAATCAACAACCAACTTGTACACTCCAAGTGTGCAAAGCTCTTAGAGACTTACCCAGAAAGACTCAGCTATAATCACTGCCAAAGGTGATTCTACCATGTATTACACTCAGGGGGGGGATTAATACTTATGTAATCAAGATATATTAGTGTTTTATTTCTCATTCATTCTTTACAAATGTTAGAAGTTTTCTTCCACTTGTACAGAGTATTTTGTGTAGATCGTTGACAAAAAAATGACAAATCCATTTTAACCCCACCTTGTAACACAACAAAAGGTGGTAAAAGTCAAGGGGTGTGAATACTTTCTGAAGGCACTGTATTTAAATTATCGCTGCCCTCAATTAATATTAAAATATATGTCCCATACTGTATGTTGTTTTACTAGAGAGGATGCTGCCCAGAGTTGCAATTGCTGGAAATCAACACAAAGCTGGACAGTGGAAATTGCCATCTTCCAATCTGCATTCAAGCTTTGCAAAATGGCTGTCCTAAACTGCAGGTATTTAATCTTTATGCAGTTGCTTATTATAATGACATTTTTTTTATTTTAGTCATTTAGCAGACTCTTATCCAGAGCGACTTAGAGCATTAATCTTAAAATAGCAAGATGGGACAACCGCATAGTAAGTATACTTTTCCTCAAATTAGCTATCAGCAAAGTCAGAGCTAGAAGGGGGAGGTTATCTTATTGAAATGGCTTTTTTGTTTTGTGAGGGAACAAACGCATTGCTGACCTTGATTTATTTTCTCTTGTGGCTCAGACTTTCCGGATGCTGAATGTCATTCCGATGCCTAAAATGACTCGTAATGGGTCGGGTTCCACATCTGGCTTCCCTTTACTGGAGGAGCTGTGTATGGCCACCACAGCTGTTTCCTTCATGACTGACCAAGACTTGGCAAAGATTGTCTACGACTCCCCTAAACTGCGTGTGCTGGACCTGAGAGGTTGTTCCCGGATCACAGCAGCCGGGCTCTCTTCTCTACCATGTGACGGTACAGTATATCCAGACATACCCATCCATTGTTGATGCTATGGATGGCCTTTTAAACAAACAATAAAATGCTCTATTTGGCCAAGTCTGTTGCTACCCTCTTGGTCAGTTATCAATGATTACATTGGTTCATGTCTACAATGTAAACTCATATGCTTCAAATATCAATGATTACATATGTTCATGATTACATTGATTACATTACATGCTACTATACTCTGTGCTGTGTTTTTTATTAGAGCTTGAGTGTCTGTACTGGGGACTGTACTTTAGCAGCAATGTCACAGTATCGTTGTCCAAGAAGGGAATTCACCTGCTGACCCAGAAATGGAGTGGCACCTTGCAGGAGCTAGACCTTGCCAACCAGCTCTTCTCTGAAGAGGACATGGAGATTGCCTTGGGCCATCTAGCTCAGGGAACCGGAGCAGACCCCATACGTTCGCTCAATCTTAGTGGGACCAAGGTCACAACACCTGCCCTCCGGTAGGCAACACATTGGTCTTCTTTTCAACATAAAACTCACTGTGAAATGGAATAGCCAATACATGTATTGTTTGCACAATACCGTATTGGTCCGAATATAAGACGGCCTTTTTTCCCCTCGAAATAGGTCCAAAAAAGTCGGGTCGTCTTATATTCGGGGTCTAGTATTCAGAGCGCAGTTTCTCTTCTTCGGCGCTCCCTTTAAATGTCAATACACATTCGCGGGCACAGATGGCGCCAAAAATTCGTTCCGGACGGAGGGAAGAGGCGTCCTTAACAACCAGCCCGTTACCGGTGTTTAAAGATGGAAAGACAGGCTGACCATTTAGAGACAAGTGGCTCAAAAGTGGGCCAGGTCAATAAACAACAGCGGAGGAGCTATGATGCCAATTTCAAAATAATGGTTGTCAATAAGGCAGAGTCATCTAACAACTGCCAAGCTGCCAAGACATTCGGGGTCACTGAGTGTAATGTAAGAAGATGGCGAGCAGAAAAACAACGTCTAAAAGATGCTAACAGTCAGCGAAAATCCTTCCGTGGTCCTCAAAGTGGTCGTTTCATTGAGGTTGACCGGAGGGTTTTTGAATATGTCAGGGAAAAAAGAAGTGAGGGAATGCCCATTACCAGAGCTGTCATCCAGGTTAAGGCCCTGGAAATCGCCAGAGAGCTCAAATGCGTATCTGACTGAGCCCGTGAAAAGTCAGGTGCGAGCAATGAACGGGGATCTTGTGATCATACCAGGGGGAATGACAAGCCAGCTACAGGTGTTGGACGTAGTTGTGAACAAGCCTTTCAAGGATAACCTGCGAAAAAAATACACAGAGTGGCTCCTGTCTGGCAACCACGCACTCACACCGACCGGGAAAATACAGAAGCCGTCAGTCCGTCTACTGTGTGAATGGATCCTGCATGCATGGGATGCTATTCCCTCACAGAGCATCATCGATGGCTTTAAAAAATGTTGCATCTCAAATGCATTGGACGGCAGCGAGGACGACGTGCTTTGGGAGGAGCCGGTGGAAGCGGAGCAGCTGGGGAGCGATGACAGCGAGAGCGAACACAGCGGGGCAGAGGACGTGTGTGAGGGATAGAGAGACATCGGAGGAGAAGTTTGGCGAATTTTTGTTAAGTTTAGTTAAATGTGTGGCCTGTATTTTCTCTGTTATTTAAAAATGTTGCTTTATTATTGCTTGATATTAATTTTGAATCATACTGTACATAGTTTGCCTTTGTGTCAATTGTTATCAAAAAAAATGAAGTATTTGTTGCAAAAGTAATCTGTAATTTGTATAACAATTTCATACTACCTTTCTATTGGATTGTTATCAGAACAGATGCAAGTATTTGTGAAATAAAGTATTTGAATTTCTCTACCTAGATAAAAAAGGTCACAAGTAGGGGCAGCACATCAGTGGTGTAGTGGAGGTTAAGCGCATGTAAACGCCGTGTGCACACCTTTCTTATTTTGCACGAGTGTGCACCCACCTTTTATGGAAACATTTATTGAAACTAAGTATAGGGAGTGTTACTTTACTCACCTCGAACAACGATCAGTGTTTACCCACTGTTTTTTTTAACCTCTACATCACTGCAGCACATGCTATATCAGGATGCAATGTGATTTACCTAGTTTGGCTTAAACTGGAGATAAAATGTATTTTCTTTGTTTTGCAGGTTAGTTATAGGCCAGTCTACAGCACTCAATTACTTAAACTTGTCGTCCTGCCGTTACCTTCCAAGAGGTCTGAAGAAACTGTATCGTGGCCAAGAAGAAATTCACCAGCTGCTGGACAAATTAGAGTAATCTATTTGTCCAGTTATTTGTTAAAAGAATGCCTGCAAAAAGACAGTCTTCAAACCAATCATAAAAGTGAATATGAATCCCCCCCCCCCACCCAATAGCTTAGCTTCTTTAAAACATGAATACATGTTTTTTTATGTTTTACCATGACCACTCAAACCACAATTTGTCGTCTTTGTCATATTTTTGAAACTGTATGTTTGTATTATGATTTTATACTTCGTTCTCTTTACATTTACATTTACATTTAAGTCATTTAGCAGACGCTCTTATCCAGAGCGACTTACAGTTAGTGAATACATATTTTTTTATACTGGCCCCCCGTGGAATTGAACCCACAACCCTGGCGTTGCAACGCCATGCTCTATCAACTAAGCTACATCCCTGCCGGCCATTCCCTCCCCTACCCTGGACGAACGCTGGGCCAATTGTGCGCCGCCCATGAGTCTCCCGGTCGCGGCCGGCTGCGACAGAGCCTGGATTCGAACCAGGATCTAGTGGCACAGTTAGCACTGCGATGCAGTGCCTTAGACCACTGCGCCACTCAGGAGTATCTTTACATGACTTCAATGCTCTAAACTGATGTTTAATAAAATATGGTTTCAATTTTATACTTCGTTCTCTTTACATGACTTCAATGCTCTAAACTGATGTTTAATAAAATATGGTTTCATATACCTTGCTAAATACATCTCAAATTCCGTATTACTATTGAGAAAATGTGAATAACCTTGTGTACTTATTTGTGGACTGTGTGAATCAGGCCTTCATGGTCGAATTGCTGCAAAGAAACCACTACTAAAGGACACCAATAAGAAGAGGAGACCTGCTTGGGCCAAGAAACACGAGCAATGGACATTAGACCGGTGGAAAAGTGTCCGTTGGTCTGGAGTCCAAATTGGAGATTTTTGGTTCAAACCGCCGTGTCTTTTTGAGACGCGGTGTGGGTGAACGGATGATCTCTGCATGTGTTGTTCCCACCGTAAAGCATGGAGGAGGAGGTGTTATGGTGTGGGGGTGCTTTTTGCTGGTGACACTGATTTATTTAGAATTCAAGGCCCACTTAACCAGCATGGCTACCACAGCATTCTGCAGCGATACGCCATCCCATCTGGTTTGGGCTTAGTGGGACTATCATTTGTTTTTCAACAGGACAATGACCCAACACACGTCCAGGCTGTGTAAGGGCAATTTGACCAAGAAGGTGAGTGATGGAGTGCTGCATCAGATTACCTGGCCTCCACAATCCCCTGACCTCAACCAAATTGAGATGGTTTGGGAGGAGTCGGACCGCAGAGTGAAGGAAAAGCATCCAACAAGTGCTCAGAATATGTGGGAACTCCTTCAAAACTGTTGGAAAAGCATTCCAGGTGAAGCTGGTTGAGAGAATGCCAAGAGTGTCCAAAGCTGTCATCAAGGCAAAGGGTGGCTATTTGAAGAATCACAAATATAATTTATACTGCAGCACAAGCTCTCTCCTCAGTGATACATTTTTGAGTAGATGAGATCACACTTTCTGTCCTTGGAATTTGCCTCCGGCCTTAGTTGTTGTCATAGACTTTAGGATGGTCTTGGTTTGAAGAAGTAAAACTCCCCTTTCTTGACGATGATGAGTAAGCTAAGGCCAGTATCTGGGTCTCACACACCTCTCCACAAGATGCAGGTATGTGAGGTTCCCTTGTGTGTTGGGGTCAAAAAAGCCCTTGTTGTCAGGGTTATCGAGGATCTGGTTCGTCTCTTCATCAAAGTATCCTCTCTGGTGCGCCACCTGTACAGGCACTCTATGACTATACCCTGGATCAATGATTCCACCAGTTGCAATCTGTGCTACAACTAGGCAAATTCTGTGGTCCTTGACAATTAGTTCCTTTTTCAAGGCCTTGAACAAGGAAATAGTGTTTCCTGTATATTGATCTTTGTATCCAGTGACTGCCCTCTCTGCTGAAAGCAGATTGTTCTTCCACTCATTCCAACCACACCTTGAGCTGCTGCCTCTTTGACAGAGAGCTTCTTGTTCATCTCTGGGTCAATGACAAATCCAATGGCAGCCTGAGCCTCGAGCAGTACAACAGAGGTTCCAGGAGTCAGAAGACCTTTGGATTTGGCATCGTAGATGCTGATGGTCTGTTTGGTGGACTGAACCTACACGCCTGCAATGCTGTTAGTTCCCTCCAAGTACTTGCGTACTGAGTCCATTTCACTCACTTGATTCACTGTGACTTTTCCTGTATTGAGATCTTCGTAGAGTTTCATGTCAATGATTTTGGATTCAAGCAGCTCTCCAGCTGTGACATTCTTCCTGATACCAATGAAAGCTTGTCTCTTTAGTTGTTGTGGTAATGGTTGTTTGTTCTGACTTAGTCTCATGTGGTGTGCATTTTGTCACTGAAGATGTTGTGGTTTTTGTGGTGGTAGTCTTTTGCTGAATGATTGTTAGTATAATCTCCATGAAGCATTCAATAGTGATTGCTCCAGATTTATGCTGCTGCACAATCTCTCTCCTTCTCTCCTCAGTGATTTATTTTGAGTAGAGGAGATCCCATAGAGACACCTTCTGTCCTTGGAATTTACCTACGACTTACAGTGGCTTGCGAAAGGATTCACCCCCCTTGCATTTTTCCTATTTTGTTGCCTTACAACCTGGAATTAAAATGGGGGTTTGTATCATTTGATTTACACAACATGCCTACCACTTTGAAGATGCAACATATGTTGAAGGTAAATGGTTGAAGTGGTGCAACACCAGATCTTATTTATGGGCTTCATAGCAAAGGGGGTGAATACATATGCACGCACCACTTTTCCGTTATTATTTTTGTATAATTTTTTGAAATAAGTTTTTTTCACTTCACCAATTTGGGCTATTTTGTGTATGTCCATTACATGAAATCCAAATAAAAATCAATTTAAATTACAGGTTGTAATGCAACAAAATAGGAAAAACGCCAAGGGGGATGAATATTTTTGCAAGGTACTGTAGTTGTTGTCGAAGACTTTAAGAGGGTCTTGGTTTGCTCATCAATGAACAAGTAAAACTCTCCTTTCTTGACGATGACGTGTAAGCTAAGGCCAGTATCTGGGTCTCTCACACAGCTCTCCACAAGCTGCAGGTAGGTGAGGTTATCTTGTGTGTTGGGGTCAAAAAAGCCATTAGAGTCTTCGAGGATCTGGTTAATTTCCTCATCAAAGTATCCTCTCTGGTACGCCACCTCTACAGGCACTCTGCTGAAAGCAGTTTGTTCTTCCACTCGTTTCCAACCACACCTTGAGCTGCTGCCTCTTCTACAGAGAGCTTCTTGTTGTTCACTGGGTCAATGACAAATCCAGTTCCAGGAGTCAGTATATCTTTGGTTTTGGCCTCAAATGCACATTATCTTTTTGGGGGACTCAATTCTTACTCCTGCAATGCAGTTTGTCGCCCCAAGGTACTTTTGAATAGATTCCATTTTACCAACAGTCTCTTCAGTAACTTCTCCATGGATAATCTGAGTGAAGAGTTCCTTTGAGATGATTCTTGACTCATACAACTCACTTGCTGGAACCTGCTTCCTCAGTCCTTTGAACTTTATTTGTTTTGATGTCACTTCCTGTATTATTATGATGACTATTTCTATTATCTCTTCCATTGTCAATGATCTTGTCTTGTATTGCTTCAAGAGCTGCTCTCTCTTTAGTTTTGAAATATTTTCAGAGAGTAACACATCCCAGAGTGACACTTGTTTGCCTTCAAATTGACCTGCATTGATGACCACATTTTTGTCTTTGAATGCCTGCTCTGTTTCTTCATCTGTATAAAACTCACTTCCACCTTCTCCATGTAGCGATAGAAGTAAAAGTCCTGTCTGAGAATCCTTTTTACACTTCTCTCTTAGCTGAAGGTATGTTAGGTTTTCCTTGGTGCTGGGGTCAAAGAATCCTTTCGTGCCATCATTTGGATTGGACATTATTTCATTTGTTTCTTCATCAAGGTAGCCTTTTATCTTGGCAACATGAACAGGTATCCTGTGGCTGTGGACTGGGTCAATTATTCCCCCTGTTGCAATTTGTGCTTCTAGCAGACGCATCCCATGGCCTTTCTCGATCAGATCTTTTTTCATGGCTTCAAATAAAGATATTGTGGCGTCTGTGTATGGATCTACATATCCAGTGACTGCTCGTTCAGCTGAAAGTAGTTTTTGATGTATTTCTAGTCCAATTAGTCGTTCTCTTGCAGCCTCATCAACAGATAGATATTTGTTCTTGGTTGGATCGATGAGAAACCCTGTTGCAGCCTGAGCCTTAAGCAGTACCAGTGCAATACAAGGTGTTAGCAAATCTTGCATATTTGCCTCATACATGCTAATTACTTTTTTGGATGGAAGAATCCAGTGCCAGCAACACTTCCTGTACCCCTTATGTATTGCTCACAGATTCCAGTTCGGCCACTTGTTCAAGAGTTACTTTTCCTTCCTCCAAACTCTTGAAGGTACTGGCTTCAATTATGCTTGATTCCAATAGTTGTTTTGCAGAGACCGGCTTTCTCAGACCTATTGTTGTTTTCAGAGTTTAATTTTTCTCCAGTTTTGTAATGGTGAAAATTACCAAAGTGATGATTACTTGTATGGTTATCGTCTTTGTTCTGTATTTATCAAGGAACTGGAGTCTCTGATCATCAGTAAAGTATCCAGAGTGAATCAAATCCCAAAGAGAGACATTCTTTCCTGAATAACACCCCACTGAAATGCTAACAGTTGTATTTTCAAACTCCTGTTTCATCTCAGCATCTGAGTACATTTTCTCAGGTTTCTCCTGTGTTTTAGCTTTGTCCATCAGTTGCAGAAGAAACAGACCCGTCTCTGGGTCCTTTATGCACTGCTCCATCATTTCCATGTTAGTCAAGTTTGCTTGTGTCCTTGGGTCAAAGAATCCCTTGGTGTCATCACTAAGATTTGTCAGGTTGTGATTAAGCTCTGCATGAAAGTATCCCTCTCTGTATGCAACTTCAAGGGGCAAATGAAGACACCTCAATGGGTCGATGATGCCACCTGTTGTAATCTGAGCTTCAAGTAAATGAATGCCATGCTGCTGCAGGATCAGATCTTTTTTCATGGCTTGGAAGAGTGAGATCTTTTTATCAGCGCAGGGGTCTTTGTAGCCTTCTCTGCTGATAAGAGATTTTTGTACAGTTCTGGGCCAATTACCTTCTGTTTCAGAGCCTGGTCCACAGTCAGTTTCTGGTTCTGAAGAGGGTCAATGATGAAGCCTGTGGGCAGCTTGTGCTTCCAGAAACGAGAGGGCAGTACCAGGAGTCAGGATGCCCTTTTTCTTGGCCTCATAGATGCTTAGTTTTTGATTGAAGGGTTGGAGTATCTCCCCGGCTACATAGCTGTTTCCTCTCAGATACAGTGCCTTGCAAAAGTATTCTTCCCCGTTGGCATTTTTCCTATTTTGTTGCATTACAGCCTGTAATTTAAATGGATTTTTTATTTGGATTTCATGTAATGGACATACACAAAATAGTCCAAATTGGTGAAGTGAAATGAAAAAATAACTTGTTTCAAAAAATTCTACAAAATAAATAATGGAAAAGTGGTGCGTGCATATGTATTCACCCCCTTTGCTTTGAAGCCCCTAAATAAGATCTGGTGCAACCAATTACCCTCAGAAGTCACATAATTAGTTAAATAAAGTCCACCTGTGTGCAATCTAAGTGTCACATGATCAGTCACATGTGTATATATACACCTGTTCTGAAAGGCCCCAGAGTCTGCAACACCACAGATCAAGGGGCACCACCAAGCAAGCGGCACCATGAAGACCAAGGAGCTCTCCAAACAGGTCAGGGACAAAGTTGTGGAAAAGTACAGATCAGCGTTGGGTTATAAAAAAATATCAGAAACTATGAACATCCCACGGAGCACCATTAAATCCATTATAAAAAATTGAAAGAATATGGCACCACAACAAACCTGCCAAGAGAGGGCCGCCCACCAAAATTCACAGACCAGGCAAGGAGGGCATTAATCAGAGAGGCAACAAAGAGACCAAAGATAACCCTGAAGGAGCTGCAAAGCTCCACAGCGGAGATTGGAGTATATGTCCATAGGACCACGTTAAGCCATACACTCCACAGAGCTGGGCTTTATGGAAGAGTGGCCAGAAAAAAGCCATTGCTTAAAGAAAAGAATTGTCAAACATGTTTTGTGTTCGCCACAAGCCATGTGGGAGACTCCCCAAACATATGGAAGAAGGTACTCTGGTCAGATGAGACTAAAATGGAGCTTTTTGGCCATCAAGAAAAACGCCTTGTCTGGCGCAAACCCAACACCTCTCATCACCCCGAGAACACCATCCCCACAGTGAAGCATGGTGGTGGCAGCATCATGCTGTGGAGATGTTTTTCATTGGCAGGGACCTGGAAACTGGTCAGAATTAAAGGAATGATGGATGGCGCTTTCAGTCTTCCAGAGATTTGAGACTGGGACAGAGGTTCACCTTCCAGCAGGACAATGACCCTAAGCATACTGCTAAAGCAACACTCGAGTGGTTTAAGGGGAAACATTTAAATGTCTTGGAATGGCCTAGTCAAAGCCCAAACCTCAATCCAATTGACAATTTGTTGTATGACTTAAAGATTGTTGTACACCAGCGGAACCCATCCAACTTGAAGGAGCTGGAGCAGTTTTGCCTTGATGTATGGGCAAAAATCCCAGTGGCTAGATGTGCCAAGTTTATAGAGACATACCCCAAGAGACTTGCAGCTGTAATTGCTGCAAAAAGTGTCTCTACAAAGTATTGACTTTGGGGGGGTGAATAGTTATGCACGCTCAAGTTTTCAGTTTTTTGTCTTATTTCTTGTTTCACCCCCCAAAATATTTTGCATCTTCAAAGTGGTAGGCATGTTGTGTAAATCAAATGATACAAACCCCCCAAAAAATCAATTTTAATTCCAGGTTGTAAGGCAACAAAATAGGAAAAAATGCCAAAGGGGGTGAACACTTTCGCAAGCCATTGTAGGTTCTAACAGTGTCTATCTTCATTATATCCTTGCTCGTCAGTTTCCCTTCAATCAGACTTTTGTATGTATTTTCTTCCACTGTTTCCAACCTCAAAAGGTCCACAACAGAAACATTCCCCCTCAGACCCTCAAAGTTCAGACCAGCTTGCCACTTTATCTCCTTGCTTTCAATGATTTCCAGGATAATTACAATAATTTCCTCAATTGTGATCATCCTTGACTTGTACAGTTTTAATAACTCCTGCCTTTTGTCCTCACACAAATATTCAGAGTTGATGAGATCCCAGAGTGTTACATGCTTGCAGCCGAACCTGCCATACATAACAGTGGCTTGCTGGCTAAGATAACTTCATATACCGGTAACATTATTTGATAAGTGGTTGGGTGGCGTTATCTATTTCCCAAACTTTGGTTTACTTTAATTTAGCTGTAAGCTAAAGCTCTCTCTCGCTCTCCTCCAACACTACTCACTCTGCCCCTACTCAGATGGTAATGCGCCGTCGCAACCTTCGCTCTCTCTCTCCCGCTACTCTCTCCTCTTCCATCCTATCATCTCTTCCCTCTGCTCAATCCTTCTCCCTCCAATCTCCTGATTCTGCCTCCTCAACCCTCCTCTCCTCCCTTTCTGCATCCTTTGACTCTATGTCCCCTATCCTCCCGGCCGGCTCGGTCCTACCCTCCAGCTCCGTGGCTTGATGACTCATTGCGAGCTCACAGAACAGGGCTCCGGGCAGCCGAGCGGAAATGGAGGAAAACTAGACTCCCTGCGGACCTGGCATCTTTTCACTCCCTCCTCTCTACATTTTCTTCATCTGTTTCTGCTGCTAAGGCCACTTTCTACCACTCTAAATTCCAAGCATCTGTCTCTAACCCTAGGAAGCTCTTTGCCACCTTCTCCTCCCTGCTGAATCCTCCTTCCCCCCCCCCCCCCCCCCTCCCTCTCTGTGGATGACTTTGTCAACCATTTTTAAAAGACGGTTGGCGACATCCGATCCTCGTTTGTTGAAGTCAAATGACACTGCTGGTCCTGCTCACACTGCCCTACCCTATGCTTTGACTTCTTTCTCCCCTCTCTCTCCAGATAAAATCTTGCGACTTGTGACGGCCGGCCGCCCAACAACCTGCCCGCTTGACCCTATCCCCTCCTCTCTTCTCCAGACCATCTCCGGTGACCTTCTCCCTTACCTCACCTCGCTGATTAACTCATCCTTGACCGCTGGCTATGTCCCTTCCGTCTTCAAGAGAGCGAGAGTTGCACCGCTTCTCAAAAAAAAACACTTGATCCCTCTGATGTCAACAACTACAGACCAGTATCCCTTCTTTCTTTTCTCTCCAAAACTCTTGAGCGTGCCGTCTTTAGCCAACTCTCTTGCTATCTCTCTCAGAATGACCTTCTTGATCCAAACCAGTCAGGTTTCAAGACTGGTCATTCAACTGAGACTGCTCTTCTCTGTGTCACGGAGGCTCTCCGCACTGCTAAAGCTAACTCTCTCTCCTCTGCTCTTGTCCTTCTAGACCTGTCTGCTGCCTTTGATACTGTGAACCATCAGATCCTCCTCTCCACCCTCTCCGAGCTGGGCATCTCCGGCGCGGCTCACTCTTGGATTGCGTCCTACCTGACCGGTCGCTCCTACCAAGTGGCGTGGCGAGAAGCTGTCTCCACACCACATGCTCTCACTGGTGTCCCCCAGGGCTCAGTTCTAGGCCCTCTCCTATTCTCGCTATACACCAAGTCACTTGGCTCTGTCATATCCTCACAGGGCCTCTCCTATCATTGCTACGCAGACGACACATAACTAATCTTCTCCTTTCCCCCTTCTGATAAACAGGTGGCGAATCGCATCTCTGCATGTCTGGCAGACATATCAGTGTGGATGACGGATGACCACCTCAAGCTGAACCTTGGCAAGACGGAGCTGCTCTTCCTCCCGGGGAAGGACTGCCCGTTCCATGATCTCGCCATCACGGTTGAAAACTCTGTTGTATCCTCCTCCCAGAGTGCGAAGAGCCTTGGCGTGACCCTGGACAACACCCTGTCGTTCTCCGCTAACATCAAGGCGGTGACCCGATCCTGTAGGTTCATGCTCTACAACAATCGGAGAGTACGACCCTGCCTTACAGAGGAAGCGGCACAGGTCCTAATCCAGGCACTTGTCATCTCCCGTCTGGATTACTGCAACTCGCTGTTGGCTGGGCTCCCTGCCTGTGCCATTAAACCCCTACAACTCATCCAGAATGCCGCAGCCCGTCTGGTGTTCAACCTTCCCAAGGTCTCTCACGTCACCCCGCTCCTCCGCTGGCTTCCAGTTGAAGCTTGCATCTGCTACAAGACCATGGTGCTTGCCTACGGAGCTGTGAGGGGAACGGCACCTCCGTACCTTCAGGCTCTGATCAGTCCCTACACCCAAACGAGGGCATTGCGTTCATCCACCTCTGGCCTGCTGGCTCCCCTACCTCTGCGGCCTCCCGAGTGGCGCAGTGGTCTAAGGCACTGCATCGCAGTGCTAGCTGTGCCACTAGAGATTCTGGTTCGAATCCAGGCTCTGTCGTAGCCGGCCGCGACCGGGAGACCCATGGGACGGCGCACAATTGGCCCAGCATCGTCCAGGGTAGGGGATGGAATGGCCGGCAGGGATGTAGCTCAGTTGGTAGAGCATGGCGTTTGCAACGCCAGGGTTGTGGGTTCGATTCCCACAGAATTTTTTTTATAATAATGTGTGCACTCACTAACTGTAAGTCGCTCTGGATAAGAGCGTCTGCTAAATGACTAAAATGTAAAATGTAAATGTAAGCACAGTTCCCGCTCAGCCCAGTCAAAACTGTTCGCTGCTCTGGCACCCCAATGGTGGAACAAGCTCCCTCACGACGCCAGGACGCCAGGACAGCGAAGTCACTCACCACCTTCCGGAGACATTTGAAACCCCACCTCTTTAAGGAATACCTGGGATAGGATAAAGTAATCCTTCTACACCCCCCTTACCCCCCCCCCCCCCCCCCAAAAAAAAAAACCTTGTAAAGTGGTTATCCCACTGGCTATAAGGTGAATGCACCAATTTGTAAGTCGCTCTGGATAAGAGCGTCTGCTAAATGACGTAAATGTAAAAATGTAAATGTAAGCTAGGTGTTGATAGCAACTGTCTGACTCATGCAGAGCTAACGTAACGTTAACAGGCTGGTAGGGCAAACGTTAGCAGGCTAGTAGGGCGAACGTTAGCAGGCTTGTTAGCTAGCAACCTTGCAAACAATACATTCATAAGGTATTTGCTTGTAAGTAGGCTGAAAAATTAATTGAAACTAGTAGTCATGAGTGCAAACGAGTTGGTTTAATTTGAAGTTATAAATGTTAAGTTATTTCTGTTGAGCTTACATTATAGGGAATAGGCTGGTTTGCCGCAAAAACATTTTTCGGCATGACTTCGGAATTCTGATCGATTTTATGTAATAACTCGAAAAATGTAAAAGTGAGGTGTAACTTAGTATTGGGACTTTTGATGCATATACTAATGCAAGTCCATATGTTACATGTGGTTACGTTTATGCTACCTACCCTTTAAGATGTTACTGTGCATTTTCCAGTAACTTAATGGCAGTTGGTCACTGGAAAGCTTGCTGCAAGTAGTTATTGTAAAATTCACAGTAACTTACTGTGGCTGATCTCTGTCATGCTCACTGACCTGATGGTGTGGCAGAAAGGTCAGTTTGCTGCCAACCAAGAGGTTGAGGCCAGGTGAGGCTGGGTCCCAAGTGTGCTCACTACAAAGAATGCTTAGTAGTTGTCAACTAATGTTATAAGCTTTCTTGTAATCAGAAAAGTTCAGTGAAGGTACAGTGAGCTTCTGGCAGCTATTTGCAAGTGCATTCTACAATAACTTACTGACATCTGGTTGCCAGTTAGGTTGTCAGTTGAGGTGGCAATTAACTGTAAGTTACTGGCAGTTAATTGCCAGTGAGTTACTAGCAGTTACTTAAGCAATAAGGCCTGAGAAAGGTGTGGTATTTGGCCACGGACAACTTTAGCATTTTAGCTAATTAGGAACTTTGAAACGATTTACTACTTTTAGCTACTTTGCAACTACTTAGCATGTTAGCTAACCCTTCCCCTAACTCTAGCCACCTAGCTATCATTAGCCACAACAAATTGGAATTTGTAACATATCATACGAAATGCATGATGGACATCCACAAATTAATACATACCATACGAAACATAACATATCATACTAATTCTAGTGTGCCGGATTTACATTTACTTTGTTACGCCTGAGTCCAGGTTGAGAGGCCTATTGCTGAGGCCAGATGCCAGGAATTCCTCTGCATTTCCTCAGATTGTATATTACTTTGCGGCTATTTTTATTTGTTTAGATTGATTGAATCACAATGTCACCTAATTTATTATGAAATGTATTCACACCTTATTTATTGTGAGTTGCTGTAATTTGCTTTTCAAGAGCTTTGCATGTGAACAAGGTTTACAAATGCATACATTTAGAGGTTCGCTAAACCAACATGAAATGGTCCCCCCCTTTAACCCCTTTCTGTTAATAATTTGAAAGGCATGTACATCTTGACAGTGTACATACTGTAAGTAAACTGTAAGCGAAGGGGTCTTATCTTTGCTGAGCCAGGTAGTGACAGGAAATGCCCCAACCCCAAAGCATTGTCTTTGTGTGAGAGCGAGCCTCCCTGAGGCTCGGCAAATACCCGAATGTGCATAACTTTCACAATCGAAATTAATTGCGTCACTAAAGAGAAACCTCTGTCTGTCATGTGGGCAAAACAAATTGTGGTAAAAGACTACTCATTGCAAAGACACATTAAATGAAATGAAATGATGCTAAATGACTGTGTGATGATGGTCACAGGATGTCAGGTTTGATACTACTTGTTAGCAATGTGCTAATGCAAAACAGCAATGGGTTTGCGCAAAAAATAAATAAAAATGATTTAAACCATTTGAGGATGGTAATGTATATACAGTGAGGGAAAAAAGTATTTGATCCCCTGCTGATTTTGTATGTTTGCCCACTGACAAAGAAATGATCAGTCTATAATTTTAATTGTAGGTTTATTTGAACAGTGCGAGACAGAATAACAATGAAAAAATCCAGAATAACACATGTCAAAAATGTTATAAATTGATTTGCATTTTAATGAGGGAAATAAGTATTTGACCCCCTCTCAATCAGAAAGATTTCTGGCTCCCAGGTGTCTTTTATACAGGTAACGAGCTGAGATTAGGAGCACACTCTTATAGGGAGTGCTCCTAATCTCAGTTTGTTACCTGTATAAAAGACACCTGTCCACAGAAGCAATCAATCAATC